GCCTGCGTCGGCGTCGACCGTCGATCGATATGTCGCAACTAGATGATACTTGCTGCATCTAACGCCTTTTGAGGATTTGAAGTGAAGGTAACAAACGCTCAATGAGGAACCTTACCGCTTCTCACCAGAACAATCGTCGTTCACATCAATACTCTACCACTTTCGAAATTGTAAACATTACCGCTAAAAAGTAACATCGAATTAAAAAAGGAACAAAATAGCGTACGATGAGTAGAATCATACCCAATGTAGACCTCCATGCAATAAATTTGAGCTTGCAACGGTGCTAAGGGAGTTGGGGGGGGCACGCGGCGGCGCGGCGCCTTTTCATGTCTGTGCCCTATCCGGTGAGATAGTAGACAAGCAAGAATAGGCGAGTCCGTAATGGTGTTTAGGGACGCTTCAAAGTTCTTTTATGTTATAACTGCGTGTTTTCACCTAATTTAAGGAAGGGAAGGGGCTCCGGGGTGGGTGAGCCAGTTGGACGTTTAGCTTTTATCTCATATCAGCTTTTTGCACGAAATAACCATCTCACCCACCCCGGAGCCCCTCCCCTTATTAAAAATAGGGTTTTATCGGCTCAGAAGAAGACTATCCATAGTATGCAAGCATATAACATGTGTCAAGAGGTTATTTGATTTGAATCACGAAAGACTTCAGTACAGCCCCACCATCCCTTCCCAGACCCAGGCGCACTACTACTATCTCGCTACAGATGGCGCAGACATGAAAAGGCGCCGCGCCGCCGCGTGGCCCCTCCCAACTCACTTAACACCCTTGCAACAACATGCTACCAACGCCGCGGTGTACCCGAATAAAGCAGTACCATCGCAAGGACTAGATCACTATAAGAAATGAAAGTACAACCCAACAACCAAGTTTTACCATAGGACGGCTATTGGTCCTGGCTCGAACACTTGGAAGTGACGCAACCCGGCCATGTGACTGGCTGCTTACAGACTTCGACGATTCTACCAGCGTGCATGCCTGCACGTGTAAAATCGCAGGCAGAATCGTGTGTGCGAGCAAGCGAGGTGCTATGCGACGCGGCGCTAGACAGGTATTGACAACATTGGACGCCGGTGGGTTACGTGCCAGTGCTGTCAACAGGTGGCTAGCGTCGCTGTCGCATCGCGCTCGCGGCGGGCACCTGAAAGCAGACCGGTCGATACCGCAATTCGACGGTGACTGCTGTCACACAGTTGGATAGCGCCGTCGTCGTATAGCCGCTCGCACGCCGCACGCAATGTTGTACCTGCGTTTCCACCTGCATGCCAGCACGCACGCCGAAGTATGAAAGCAGCCTTTGGCCGCTTTCAGACTTCGACGACCGTCCGACCGTCCGTTCAACGCGTCGCGACGGCGGTCGCTAGAGTAGTGTTGACAGCGCTGGCGTGATCTCGTGTTGTCAACAACGGTGAGGCGCCGTCGTCGCAGCACGTACGCGACCGTCGCCGCGAACACGTTGAACGGACGTTCGGACGGAGGGCCGGAAGAACGTTGTGGTCTGAAAGCATCCATTCATAGTATCACCGTCTTGACGCTGACATTAGAGTTAGAGCGCCGTTCTCGGTGCCGCGCACCGATCGATATCTCGCAAGTTAGACTGCACGAATTGAAAGAGTAGAAAAGGAGTTTTGGTGTTAAATGCTTTAGTTTGCTAGAGAAATGCATAGGGAAAAGATCGTTTACATTTTACTAAAGTACAAATAGAGCCGTACTTGAGGAAAAAGAGTAGAAGAAGAGATGGTCCGCAGTAGCACACGGGTGCCTCGGAGGTGCATTAATGGAACCGGCGTTTCTCCGCTGAGTCGAAGCCGGCTGCTAACCGATCGGTATTGAATAAGACGACTAGACGTGCTCGTGCATTAGCACAGAACATGCAATCGTATTTCTTTTTCTTTCACAAAAAACTTTCCTTCTTTCTGTTAGTTCACCCTCCCAGAAAAAATCCAAACCTTTCTTCCCTATTCTAATCACGAACTGAAATTTCTGCGTATAAACCTTCCTTTCAACGAAAAATCACCAACATTTGCGTCTACGTTGCAGTGCGAAAACGCTCACTGATTCTGACAAGGTCTTTTCGATGCATCGTAAGGCAAGATTGGGGTGCGTGCATTGAAACGATTTATGCCGTGAAAGAAATTGTTATCCTTGAAGTTTTGCGCCCTTTCCTTTTTAATCCTCCATAGGGTGGTCGTAATAATTGGGTTCCCCTACAGGCGAATATGCGTACTGGTGAAGCACGATGACGTATTACATCTGGTGTATGCAGTGAACAAGGAGATTTAGTCAATAGAATTCACTATTTCGTTCGAGTATGCAAATGAAATCCCAGACAACTTCGCTAAACGCCCAAACACGTGCTGATGAAGCAGCTTACCTAAAATGTCGGACATTCGTGTAAATATTGCTGACACCTTCCACTCTAGCTACACCGGGAAATCCATAGTCGCCACCCTGTGGCCTCGTTGGTAGTAAATTGCCTCGAATGAGTCGGCCTCCTGCAGCCATGACAAGACCCAACCGTTTCGATGAGGCGACAGGGGCGAGACGTCCCGAGGCATCCCTCGTTGAACCGTTTCGCTGTATCACACTTGAGGAATTTAGCAGAATACTTTTTCTGGATTCGATATATGCAATTTTGGTGGTAGCTTGATCGCAAATGAAAGTGGGTTTTGGGCGTTGATTAATCCAATGTGAGGGATGCGCACCTCACTCCACTTCAATTCAAACTCGTAGCGGCTTAGTAGTCTTTGTGTGAACGCATATGGCCCATACAATGACCTGCAGTAGCCAGCCGGGGTACAAGTCAGCGCTCTTATCCTCCCGCACGAATCTCGTGCTAAACGGCAGTCGCGGCTGGATGGAAGGCTTGATTGGCCATGGCGGATATCAGCCCGAGGAACGAACTAGTGACGATACGTGTGTGATGGCACGCCACTCGCCACTACACAACGCCGAAGGGATACGCGATCACAAGATCTAACAGAAAAATCATGCCAAAAATAATAATCGCTTATCGATCGAGCAGTATGAATAACTCTAGAATTGTCATAACGAGGCGACTAGTAAGCGACTGCCGCGTGCGGCGAATCGATTACACAAAACCGATTCTACTGCCCGTCTCCCCACCACTCCGCCCTCATCTCTTCCGTATAATCGAAAATTTTACCGCATGGTACATTCTGTTTTGTAAATGCAGAACGGGTTTCCATCTGAAAACACAGAGCGGTCTAATAAGCCCGATGTAAGGCACAACATAATATTGGGACCATTTCAAAAAAAGAACATGAGCGAGTTATAACATTGCACAAAATTAGGTTGGTTTCTCTTTCCAATTTCCGCACGGCTTGAATGGAACTGTAGATAACTACTGGGAGTCTTTTCAGAACACACACGGAAGACGAATTTGACACATAAATAAGGAACTTTCGAGAGCGTTCCACATGATTTCCTTGGCACTCATGACTTTATTAGTTCATATTTAAACACCTAACACTCGACACCCGTGGGTAGATCGTTCCTGGAAATCGGCTAATGTTTGATAGACAAGAAGGGCAAGGAAGTTTTGAAAATGGAGCAACGTGAGAGGAGGCTGGACAAGTGTTCTGTAGGTAACCTGGGTCGCAAAGCCAAAAGATGTTATTTTACCCCATAAAAACTTCTACATGAAATGTATGAAAACCAAAGTGTATTCAATGTTTTGATTCTTCTTGGATAGATTTTCAAATAGTACTATACTACTCTCACAGATAAATGGTAAGGGTTTACGAAGCATAAACAACAAAAGAAAAACTGCTTCCTTCTTAGTACAAAATCGCACTGAACTCTACCAAACTTTAATGAAATTAAACTGAAGAATCTCAGAACTGAAAAAAAAACGAATTTATTTTATCGCCCAGGATGGACTAATTAGTCCAAAAGGGACGAGATGGGTTTAAAAGTCACGGGAATGTGTTACACAGTAACCCGACTACACGCTGAAGCACCTTCAAACACCCGCCATAAATACGACGCAGCCGAGAGTTAAAGTGGGATAGGACCGCAGCTAGCCCCCGGTGTATCACATGTTCATGGGCTCCAGGACATGACGAGTCACTTCCACACCTCATTCACCTCGAACTTGTCCTTATGTCATTCACATGTTGCTTACATGTTTGCCGTGTCATTCACATGATCGCACCTGTTTTACAACAAGGATGGAGATCTACCTTTCTCATCCTTACCCAGTTGGGCATGGGATCTCTGGTTTTCATTTTTACCCGTTACTCTCGGAGCAGGGTTACTTGTTGCTAGTCTTGTTTGCCATAACCTGTTACCATTTTTCGAGGTGTCATTCATGTAACAGTGTTAAATCAAAGATTATTCGTGAACATTTTGACAGTTTGTGTAGTTTTCAAGATTGATCTTGTAACCGAACAGTTTTCATGGTGATTCCACCCGTATAGAAGAACAGGCATTGAACAACGAGAAAAGACGACCCATCGATTGTTCTGAGCTTCGACTGCAGACGTTTCGTCAGATAGTGCAATGCTTACTAACCCTATACTTTCGAGTAAGAATCTCGAGCATCTTCAGTTTGGATGTACGCGATCCGTGGTGAGGGCTACGTGCTTCGCTGATGCATGATTCACCCAATTAATGATTGGTTGAACTATGGTAGGAATAAGCATGTTCCTTCACAATACGTTTTCGTAGTTAGTAGCTAATGAGGCATCCAACTGGACAATAAACAAGTCATATTAGAGCGGTGCTAGGAGTACAGAGGGGATACAAAAGGCTGGGTTCGCTTATGAGATTGATAACTACAGTGTTCACTGACTCATTGAGTTTCGGCAGACTTCCTACATGAAAGCATCCACAATAAAGTTAATGAAGAAACGAGCAGATATTGGTAGTCGGAGTACGCGCGCCATTACCGTGAATGCGTACCTACATAGCTACCGTGATCCGTATAAAGCCGAATACCTGTTTCTGTAGCTCTCCGCTGTTTCTCGATGTCGTTTCTAGCTGGATTGATCGTCGAAAAACGTGGAGACGTCTTTATAGTCAGCAGGTGTGTTTAATTCATAAGGTCTGATGATAACGTCATGAAAATTGATTGGTATATTTTTCAGCGATTCGAATGATTTTGAAATCAGCGTCGTTGAGTGTAATGATGATTACGATGTTGGGAGTTGGTTGTGCCTTCGAATAAGCAAGGGAGTCATCGAGGAACACGGTGTCTGCAAGGCAGACGGTCTACCAGAGATTCGGATCGTTCAGGGAAAGGCACAGGTAAGTTGTTAAAACCGAGTTTTATTTAATTGAGGTATTCTTGCGGATTGGCTGCTGGGAAATGGGCGTGCAATGACACGTATATTCTACTCTGTTAATGATCATGTGAGAAGTAATATTTATCGTAGTGATCGTTAGAAGGTCGCCCTTTCATTGACAGATTTGACAGAATTGCCACATTCTTCGCCGTTTCGTCAGGCCGTGCACAAAGTTCACTTGTTAAAATCTCACTTCAAAGCATTCTTTCCTTGCATGTTGGTCTTTGACCATTACTTTTTGTTGAGGACTTCATCACTAGTGCTATCTTCGTTAGCCAATACCTTCAAGGGAGGCATTTAATGCGGCCCAGAAGGGGGACGCACGATTCGTGCGATATGGGTGCGCGCGGCGGAATTTGTGATGATTCGAATGACGCCTACTATTGGAGCACAAACTAGAAATAGAGTGGATTAGTAGGATCAGCTGACCATACCCAACTATTCTACTTCAAGTTTGTGCCCCAATAATAGGCGTCAGAGTCGTTCGAATCATCACGAATTCCGCCGCGCAATCTGCCGCGCACCCAGAATCGCACGAATCGGCACACACCCCGGCCCAGAACACTCTAGGGTTGGGTTGATTTATGTAGGTGCTTGTTAGTGAACCCTAAAAATAAGTGAGCTATTAGTTCATAAAAATCCGGGAAAGTATGGGTTACTTTGCAGAAACGAACCAAGTAAACGAGCCATCGTAGTTCTCAAGTAGATGGAGAAAGGTAGAGCCTACCACGGCTGTCCTTCATCTAGTACATATTATGGAAATCCCGTCAAGGATGACTCGTGAGAAAACTTTATATATTACAGGCAACATGCAGATTGGGCGATAGTTGCCAATACTCCCTTCGTATACAGCAACGCAGTTTTTCCGAACCAGAGTTTGGATCAGATGTTCTGGTCTTATGCAATAGGGACCGTGCGTCGTACAATTATTCATCGACGTGATGGCATATCGAATTTCGGAAGGGAGAAGTGAACGGACGGCATTCATTTTGCCTTAGGTGGTGTGTAGGCAGGTGAACGTGGTTGTCGAAGAGGTCACAGCAGAAGTCGTAGATGACTTCCTCCATCCCTTCGAGATCAGTAATTGTTCCGTGAGGACCACGACGAACGGAAGTAATCGTGGTCTCGTAATTGACGAAGCTCCGGTGGGCTTTGCGAATGCTCTCCTCAGCCTCGGTTTTCAGCCAGAACTGCTGCTCTTTTCTCTTTTATATCTTCCTCTATCGTTTACCAGTTTGGCTATGCACGCTAACGCGTGCAGTATATGTCGACGGCCACTTATCTACGATGGAGTCATTCAGCGGAATGTTGGATAATCATAATAAGATATTTCTCTCTAGATTCGAACGCGGAACTGTTGAGAGTATCACGCTTGATAAATTTGAGCAGAGTTCTTAGTTGTTGATCATAGCTCCGTCCACCTTAGTGCAAACCCTTCCCACAATAAACTTGACCATCCTTCTTTTGACTGCTCCAAACCATTTTTTCCGCATTACAGGAAGTTTTTGAAGAGATGAATTTCTGGTCCTAGCCTCGCTTTCATGTGCCAGCCACGCCCCCTTCGAGGACTTAACTACATTTGTTCCAATTCCTCTTACCACTTTTTTCCCGCGTTCTAGAACGTTTCTGAACAGTTATGGAATTTTAATATAGGTCCCGCCCACTTTGGTGCCAACCCCGCCCACTTCGAGGATTCGAACACATTTGTTTCATTACCTCTTACCACTTTTTCCCGCAAAGACTCAGCCACATTTGTTCCGTTGCCTCTAACCGCTTTTTCGCCGCATTCTAGAACGTTTCCGTACAGAGTTATGAAATTTTGATCTAAGCCCAGCCCACTTTGGTGCCAGCCACGCTCACCTCGAAGACTCGGCCTCATTTGTACGTTGCCTCTAACCACTTTTTCCCGCATTC